GATGTTGATTTTATGATATAATAAATATAATATAACAATCAATTTAGATATTATAAATGTTATATCAAATAAAAAAATAAATAATGTAATTAGTATTACTACAATTGGTATAATTGAAATAATAATTTGAGTCCATTCATAATAGTTTAGACATATTTTAATGATCATATATGTAGAAAAAATTACTATATTAAAAAAATTAAGAAACAATTTTAAAATGTAATATATATATATATGATTTAATAATTAGTTTTTTTTGATAAAACATTTAATATTTAAAAAAATTATTCTGACATTTTATTTGTAAAATTTTTTTAAAAATTTACTAAATGTTTTACCAAAAAGATAAGTTAAATGTATTAAAATTAATTTTAAAAAATATTTTTACCTGAATAATTCAGGCTACATAAATTGTTATAAATAATAATATTAAGTAACAATTTTGCATTTTTTAGTACATTATTATTATCAAATAGATAATTAATTAATTTATAATTTTTATTAACGTTCAATATATTTTTCAATTTTAATTGCTTAAAAGCAATAGGAATTTGCATAATTACTAGTAATTTAATTAAATCATTTGATATATGATTATAATTATTATAATGTGTAATATAATATATCATTGACGCAAATATATAACTAAATAATAACGCAATTTGATTATATTGATAGAGACCACCCATAAAATATGTGAAATCAAATAATAGTTTACGTATATCTGGAGTTGCATTCAAACAAATAATACATTTAATAATGTTTAGTACATGACATAGAAAAAAGATATTTTTCAAAATTTTCATTTTTTCATTTTCACTTTCTAATTGTACAATTGTTTTTAAATATATTGCTAATATAAATTTATAAATTGTTATTAACTTTTTGATAAACATTTTATTACCTTATTACTAGATTGTTTAGTTATTTTAGTAAAACTTTTAAAAATTTTATTTTAAAAATTAATTAAATATTTAATAACTGTTGGATATTACTTTTCATGAATTGAGATTATTGTAGTTTACTGATATGTTTTGTTTAAAATGTAAAATTTTAAAATTATCTATAATAAAATATAATACTAAATAAATTTTATTTGTAATAAATTATGAGTCATAATAATACTGTAATTAAATATCATTATTTAGAAAATATATTATAATTTATTTAAATAATAATATTTATTAATTAAAATATTGCGTTTATTTAAAAACGATTAGGTTATATATTATAATTAATTTTATAATACTCTTGAAATTGAAAGTTATGCCAAAATATCATAATTATTATTGATAAATATATGATATTAATAATTGAGAAAGTTTCAGAAAGTTTCTAAAGAGAAATTATTGTTTATTATATCCCCATGTTAATTTTGTTTTTTTTAAATTAATTTTTGTTATATATTGTAAAATGTACTATAATTATTAATAATAACTAAATATTATTATAAATATTTTAAGTAATATCCAAAATAACAGAATTATTCAAGTAATAAGAAATAATAAAATATGAATAAATTTTATAAGTATAATATGTAAATTAAATATTAATATTATAGTATTACAATTGTTTTATATGGAGATCCCATAGTATAACATAAAGTAAAATTTTTGTAGAAATTTATTTTTGTGAACAATTCTAGAAATTTTTTTATGAAAATTTATTAGAGATTTTTATTTGTCCAACTTTAATTATTGTTGTTTTATATTTTTAATATACTGTATTACATAAAAAATTATTGGATTTATAGACTAATTAGATTTATAATATAATTATAATATATATTTATCGAAGTTTTAATATAATTGATTATCTAAATAAAGATTACTTAATTTTAGTATAAAAATATAGTTAAAAAGTAAAAAAAAATATTTTATATTTTTATCAAAAAAATATAAACTATGGTTAATTTTAACAACAAATACTATTATAAATCATGTATTTTATTAGTTTTTTTATAAGTTATAAGTAAAAATGTTAAGTCATATTTCAATGAATAACTCAATAAATATTTAACTGTATATTTTAAAAATTAATATAATATATAATGAAATTGCAGATATTTTTTTTATAAAAACAATAATAATAAAACAGTCTAGTTTAGTAATTTTAATTAAATAAATTTAATCTAAAAGTATATTATATTAACTAAAAAATTGTTTAAACATTTCAAATGTATACTTTTAAATATTTTATAATAATATTATTGTTTTGTTGTGTTATTGATTGTATGAACGATAATTCATTTATGATATTATTAATATTACAACTATTATCTATTTGTTTAATTGTGTATAACTGTTTAAGTATTTAACAATTGTTGACATACATTTAATGTAATTTATACAAACATAAGTCATATTTATTTGATTGATAATTATTTTTCATTTTTACATTGAATATCATTTTATTTAACAGAAACAATCAATTCATAATCTCCTGGACTAAATGGTTACTTCTATTTCTGTTATTTTTAATTCATATTTATATAAATAAATAATTTACTAATTTTACAGTATTAAATAAAACAAATCTATTTGATATCTTATAAATATTAAAATTATTTTACATCAAAGTAAATCCTAATTAAACTATATTAATACAGTATATATATATATATAACATAAAATTAATAATTTAATAATAATAATAATAAATTAGTTCAAATGAGTTTCATTGCGTAATTTTGCTGATAATGTGTGCAGTAATAAGAAATATCTTACATATTTTATGACAATCTGCAAAAAAGTATACAAAAACTTTAATTAATTATTTTAATTACTTTAGATTTTAAAAAAAATTATTAATTAATAAAGTATTTATATTTTAAACCTTTTGAAACATTGGGAAAGTCATGGCACCAAACGGTCCAATATTTAAACCGATTTTATGATTACTTGACAGTCGCTCAAAATATGTCATTAATTTTAGTTTAAATCTCGGACCTAATGGCCAGCGCTTTATACGCCACTGAATACGTGCTAACGGTTTGCACATTGAGTGATATTTTTTGGACAGGTATGCCAATAAAAAATTGTTAGCAAATATAAATAAAATATTCGCTATTGCTATTCCCAAAAATAAGATTTTAAAATCTAAAACAATGTCCTCAAATAATGTCTGGTGCCAACACAACAGATTGAATGGCAAAAAACAAAACATTTCCACTAATTTTAGTTTAGCATTGATTTTATTATCGCTTTTAAGTATTTGACAACATTTGTTGTGTTGGTCCATATAGATACCGGTGCTCTTACTTAAATCAGTGTCTAGTGTAGTTTTTAAATTATGATTGATCTTGTTGATTTTTGATAGATATAAATAAAATATAACTGGCAATGTTGTCAATATAAATGTTGAATCAAAAAGAGCTATTGAATAGGGTATTAACAAAATTATTTGATGCATAATAATTATTGGATAGTTTGTCCAACCATAGTATGTTATTTGTATTTTAATAAAATAAATTAGAGTAACAAATACTATGTGTTCAAAAAAATGTTTAAAATTATTAAAATTGAATTTAAATTAAAATTATAATTATAACTTTTTATATAGCTTACATGCACTAATTATCCAATGTATCCAAAAAATACTACCAAATTTTGTTGCCAGTGATGCATATCTCAGCACATTATTATCATTGCATAATGTATTGAGAAACAAATTGTTATTAACCCGTAAGAGATATTGATTTTTTATTTGTAACTTTTTGATTGATTTTTGATTATTCAAAATGATTACAAACAATTTGATATAATCGCTAGATTTATTATCATAATTATAATGTAAAATACAGTACATGGATGTGGAATATATGCTAATAATTAGAAATGCAATCAAATTGTATTGATAGAGACCACCGATGAATAATGTAATATCAAATGATTGATACCTTGTTTCATATGTGGCGTTAAAATAAATTAAACATTTAATTATTACTATTATATAAAACAATAATATTACAAATTTAATTAATTTCAATTTTTTGCTACAATTTTTGTTTGGATTGATTGATGCTAAATACAAGTTTATAATATATTCAATTAATTCTTTATATTTAGTTATCATATTTTTTTAGGAAAAAAAATATTATATAAAGAATCTAATAGAAACTATAAGATTCAAACATAAATAATTATTGTTTTACATTAAATAATTAGAAAATTAAATAAAAAACATAATATAATTAGTTATGTTTTTTTAATTTAATAATATATTCTATTAAGTAGTTATAAAAAATAGATGACTTAAATATTGTAAGAAAATAATATAAATTTAAATTATATTGTCTTCAAAATTACGGTAAATTTAAAAGCAATTAATAGTATAACAACAATATTCAATAACACAGTAATTGCAATTAAATTATAGTCTTATTAATATTATAAATATATATTTATAAATTCATAGTACAGTACTTTAAGTTGATGTTTCATAATAATAAAATAATCAATAAATTAAATACTCTGACTATTTGCTGACTACTGTATGTTTCTATTAATATAAAATTATATTATTATATTTTTTTCATATAAATAAATTCAATATTCTATGTTAATAATAAAATTAATATTTTGTCATATAAAAGATTTTTGTAATTAATATTTGTTATTTCATTTACAATATATAAATGTATAATAAACAAAACAAAAAGTTATATAATATATCGTTTTGCTCACATTTAACCATGATAAGTTAATTATTTATATTTATTAGATATGGTTTATATTTAATTCCGGTCTTTCACTATATATTTAATACTTTAGTATAAGCAGTACAATATTATTATTATAATAATAATTAATTAATAATAAAACCTGTATTTTGATTTATTGTTAATTTAAAAGCATATGTATTGATCAAAATAATTAATTAAAGTAAAGTTTGTTAAAATTATTATCAATGAAAGTATATAAATACAAGTTTACAATATTTATAATTCATTCATAAAAATATAATAAAATCTATTAAATTATAATTATTACAAGTTATAAACAATGAATTCCTATAAAACTCTTATATTTTTGTTTGCCTGTATTACTATTGGTAAGTAAATATTCTATAATTTATATTATTATTGAAAAAAGTTTTTAATTTGTTTTGAAAATCTTTAAATTATTTTTTAATTCATTAGTTATCTGTAATGAGGATATCAAAAGTCAGATCCAGTGCATGAAAAGTGCGGATCAGGCGCTCATTGGAAAGTCAGACAATCAACTGTTTGATTTGAGTCAAGAAAATCTGGAAATCGGTCAGCAATTGGTTGAGAAAAGAGCCGAAATTGCCAACAATGCCGGACTCACGTGTTATAAACAGTTTTACGATAATTATGTCAAAGGATTGGTCCAAATCTTTAAGGGCGACAATGAAGTCCAACTACTGAACACCGCTTCCACACAACAGATCAGATCGGATGCCACCAAAACTATTGCCGGTATAACACAAGCCATGAGATGTGATGAGGACTGGAGAGCCAGCGGACACTTCAACCAAACGGTCAAATCGGCCGACTGTTCGTCGATAGAAAAGATGACTTTTTTGGCTTCAGATTTGTTTAGCTTTCGACCCAAACTTGAGTTACTTTTATCGGGTATCAGCACCGGTAGCTTTGCTGCAAAACTGAAAAATAATGTCGTTTCACAACTATTTGGAAAAGTAAGTGATGAGTAAAAACTAATTTTCAATTTTTAATTATATTTTATTAAATTAATGAATCAATAGATTTCTAAACTATACCGTACTCTATATAACGACGCCGATCGGTGCGCCCGAAGTCAACCAACACTGGCCGACAAATGTCGTCAATTGAAAATGTTTTCCATGGAATTGGACCGACTCTACCAATTGGGTGGATTAAAGGTGGCGTCTAGTCTACCGTTTCTCAATTAAATGATTTATTTAACAAATCTTTAAAAAAATGGATTAACTGAATGAAGTTTTGATTCAAATTATAAATATTGAAATTTTAAATGTCTATCATTTAATTCTAAAAATGTTTAAACTATATTTCAAATTAAATAAATAATGCATTTTAAAAATTATTTAAATTTATTTATATTTAATTTATTATTATTTAAAGTATATTTATTTTGAAAACATATTTTAATAATTTAAGTTTTGCTTACTTTTTTACAATTTCTCAAAAAACTATATCTTTATCGAAACAATTCAAGTATTGGCTAAAGTTTTTTGAAAATTGTGAAATCAAATCGTAAAATTATAATTATTATATATATTTTTAGTAATTACTTAATAATTATAGTATAATATAAAATTTTTCAATTTTTTGTTACAACAATACCATACAGTACAGTCTTTGCTGTAAATAAATGTTAATTTTTTTTACAAAAATATAGTAATAAAATATTTTTTTTTCTTAGAGTTTATTACTTTCAAATTAATTAGTGGTAAAAATAATAATTAATTAACACATATAATATTTTAAATAGTTAATTATTATACTATACAATATTATAGTTGTTAACTAAAAATAACATTACATTAGACTAGACAAAAAAATGTTTAGATTAACTTGGTTAATATATTGAATACTATAATAGGTAGTTATTATTATTATTATATAATAATAAAAAAGTAAAGTATAGTAATGCATATTTATAATAAGCACACTAATGTTGTCCATTATATTTAATATAATATTATTGACGAAAAAATATGTTATATTATGAGAAACCGGGTGTCAAACCAAATATCTCGCGAACCAAACTCTGGTGTACTTTCATGGCATCGGTTCTCTCAATTGATTTCCGATGGTTTTGACAAAATCTTATCAAATCAGACACTCCTCTCATTAGTCGACAATATTTATATTGAGATTCACTTTTGTCCACACATTTGATGAGCAAATATTGCGATAATAACTGTATGTAAAGGTTTTGCTGTAGTCTAATATAAGACAATTTTTTAAATTATAAATTTTTGTTTTTATATATTGTTGAAAAAGAGTTATATAGATTATATAATATTGAATTATAATTATTTATAAAATAAATATAAAAATTATAAAAATATGTTACTTACTTAACTAAATTGCGGTTTATCAACATGGGATGATCAGGGTTAAACAATATGATAGCGGTTAGCTAATAAAAAATAAGTATACAATATTATAAAAATCGTTTAATCAAAAAGTTTTTAGCTAAATGTTATGTAATACCAGGTCTAATATGGTAGAGTCATACTCCCAGTCATTATAAATATTACATATAATTTTACGAAACAATTGATGATCGTTTGGATGAACCCAATCCATGTCAATGTCTATTATATTATCAATACTCTGATTAATAAAATAAAAGGATAAATATTAATAAATATAAAACTTTAATTAATTTTAAAAAATAATTTAATTCTATTTAATGTGAAATATAATTAAATAATTTGCATACCATTTGAAAGCGCCAAACATCACGATAGTGGTCATACCTGGTTAGGGAACGCATACAAAACAAGTCATAACAGCCGTACTTTACTAATGCAATCCAATCGTTATCAACAATCAAATCAAATGACGACAACTGTTTACACAATTGAGTTAAGCCAATAATATGTCGTTCCATATGTAGTCCAATAACCCAATAGACGTCATCGTAAGTCAGGGCCACTGATGCTGACTGTATGGGCGTTGAGCTCCCGGTTCTGTCATCAATAAGACACTTCATTGCACTTAAAAGTTCTTGCAGTTTGTCGACCTCCTGGACGTTCAATTCAAGGCAATTATTATATTGACTTAAAGGTCGTCCCATTGGCGGCTTCAGTAGTAAACAACTATCAGAATATTCTGTTTCGTTGACACACTCCTCCTGTTCTCCGCAATCAGACTCAGTAGTCTGTGGTTCATCCACCCAATTGATACCATCAAATATTTCAGACATATCTTCATCAATAATTGATCCCATGTCAGTATCGGTGCTACCATCTCTTTTAGAACTGCATATTATGCTACCGGTGCTATCATTATCATCACTACTAGTACTATAATTACTAGTCATCAGTGATTGACCGGATTTTCGCTGTTTTTTCATTTGTTGTGATAGCAATATATAATCCTTAAAAATAATTATATAATACAGTATTAACATTAATTTTTAATGGGTTATTCATATATAATATTTAAAATTCAAATATAAATTTGTATCAAATATTAGATACCTGTCTCATGCCTAACGAATAGCATTTCTCGAGTCGACATCGTTTACAATAGCGGCGACTAATTGAATCGATTTTGCAATTATTGTTTGCAAAACATTTAAATTCCTATCAAATTATATTAAATTATTATATAATTTTTTTATTGTTATAAAATTAAAATTTAATAATTATAATTAGTTATAATTAGTTATAATCATAATTAGAATAATAATAGTTATTTTATAATTATTAATAATTTTTTACCTTAACTTTGAAGGCATTTCTCCTAAAGAATACCTTACAAGAAGGACAGGTTATGGCATCAAAATTGTAACCTATTTTACAGATTATTTATTTTTAATTATTATTATATTATATCAATATATATCATAAGTTACTTATATATATATACTGAATATATTATTGTATTTAACAAAATAAATAAATAAAAAAAATCTAAGATAACATTTTTTACTAGAATATATTTATGACACACTGATCTAAAAACTTTATATAAAAAATATTTTTTTTATGTAATAACATCATAATATATATAACTTATATAAATAATTGATAAACTATATAAAGCTATTTGATTAAACAAAAAACAAAATAAATAAATAAATTTTGCTTACCGTATGCCTTATCACCGCAAACCACACAAATTAATTTTTTATCATATTTTTCGGCACTCATTATGAAACAAATAATTTTTAACGATTTTTTATTAACTAAGTATTTAGTTAAATATTAATTTGTTTTCTGTATTTTCATTAAACAGTTCACTGAAACAATGTTTGAACTCTTGGGACTGACTTTTCAAATGATTGGTCTTTAAATATGGTTTTTATTTTATTAGCAATCATTGCACTACTCATCATAACTATAAAACTATTGCCAATAACCGCAAATAACCCTAACTTTTACCTTCAATAAGTAAGTCTTGTGATAATAAATATTAAAACTGTTTTTTCTCTATTACTAATAGTAATAATAATAATAATAATACAGTACTAGTAAGCTATATCTTAGTTTTTAGTACAAAATAATAATAATAATGTGTGTTTGCGTGTGAGAGCTATGATAAATCAGTATAGATTTGTTATTGAATATATTTAATAGACTAGTATTACTAGTAGTAATACATTTACTATTTCATACGTATGTATAGTTAGCATATATGCCATATACAATATTTTATGGTATGTGTAAAATATTACTAAAATTTTTATTGATATTGTATTCAACTATTGATGAAAAAATATAAAGAGTTGTTTTCATTGAAAGTTTATTACTAATTAATACTGTAGTTTCTATAGACAACTGATAAAACAAGTTTTTATTTTTAAAAAGGCTTAATCAAATACAGTGTTATTACTAATATATAATATATTATATATTATTAATATCTAATACATACACACAGTCACAAACACACACACATATATATATACTGTATTTACACATCTCAAGGACATAGATAGACAAATAGTTACCTAATGTAACAAACAATGTATATGTATATTGTATTTATAAATTAAAAGTCATGTCTTCTAAATGTTTAATACTGTACTCTCTATTTTACTCTTACTTTTTTATAGTATATTATTGATAATAATTATTAAAATTGAAAAAACTATTTTTTGTTAAATTACATAAAATACAACAATAATAAGTTTATAAAAACATATGTATAAATGAATACAGTACACTATATTGAAAATAGGTTATTAAATTTAAAAACTAAATAATAATAAATAATAATAATTATTAACTAAAAATAATCACTCCAAATGCCATCGCACGTGCTTTCAAACACGTTTTCATCGACACGTGTCAACTCGTACGGCGACAACACTTTTACTTTGGACACCAATCGGTTGTCGTCAGTTGTGTCCAACAGTTTTGGCCAATCATTACTTGGTTTACTTAAACAAAAACAAACACAAAAAAGTTAATTATTAGTAAAAACTGAAAAATACTAAACAAATAATAACTAATTTATGACTTCTCAATATATTTTACCCATATTTGGCAAAATCGGTCCACAATTTCATAATATAGAGACTAAAATCATAGTCTAGTTCACTGTATTGCTGTTGTTTGATAATTGGTAAACCAAAAACAAAATCAACATCACAACCATGGTGATTTATACTATCATCAAGGTCCAATAATTGTTCCAGATCATTCCAAATATTATTATGGGATTTATATGCAAATTGATAGTAATAGACATTTGATAGATGAACCGTTGGGTTGATATTTTGGGCAAACATTTTGGCAAATATATATGTAGGACATGTAAATGCCAGATCACCGTACAACTGGCCAAATGCATTGACCAACTCTTTACTATTACTAGTGTTAATATTATTCAAATAGTGTCCAGCTACTTTATCTTTATCAATATTATGATGTACCCTGTCCAATTTATCTAATACTAAATTAATTGATTGTTCGTTGCATTGATCAATCAATTCAGGTATTATATCGCAAAGCATAGCCTGTCCCTCATGAGTGGTCGAACCGGCCATTAGATCAATATTTAAATTATCTTAATATTATTAAAATACATTATGTAATTAATTAATTTGATAATATATTTTACATTTTATGTTATTATTAATATTAATAGTTTTTATAGTGATAACTAAGTTTAATATAAATAAAATAAAAATTGTGTTAATCATAAACCTCTTTGAAACTGTGCATGCTTAATTGTTTTTTGTGGCAATTGTGGCAAAAATTCTGTACCAAATATTGGATAATAAAATATTAATTCACTGTAATTATATGGTTTATTGCGAAACAGTTTAGGATCTTCAATATCGCGGAGACAGTCCAACCATCGATACTCGTAGGGATCGCAACCCAATTGATAAGCAATTTGTTTAGCTATTTTCAGTCCATCGACTGTATCATAAATAGGTTGATCTTTGCTATTAATATGACCACCGCTTTGCATAATAGCTCTCCGAAATAATCCATTGGATAGCGGCGACACTATGTGTGCTGATACAGACAAACTGCCGGCTGATTCACCAAATATAGTTATCTGATCCCTGTCACCACCAAACACATGTACATTATCTCTGATCCATTGAAGTGCTAACAATTGATCGTAAAGTCCCAAGTTTCCCGGTGCACTATCATCGGAACCGTATAGAAAGCCTAGAGCACCGACACGATAGTTGGCCGCTACTATCACTACATCATGTGTGGCCAAAACTGTACCGTTAGTATTTTCATCAAATATTGATCCCACAATGAATCCGCCCCCATATATCCAAAACATTACTGGTTTTAATGTATTAACAGTTTTATCATTAGGTGTCCATACGTTAAGCACCAGACAGTCCTCGCTTTCAGTTAAACCTGTAATTTCTAGCCCTTCATCTTGTATACAACTATTACCTGATTTTGTGCCGTCAATGATATCCTAATTAATAGTATATATTTTTATTTTTTAAAAATATAATATAATAATTAATTTAACTTTTGCTCACATTTTTGGGTGTTTTCAATGGCACAGGTTTGGCAAATCTTAACCTACCGACCGGTGGTTCGGCAAACGGTATATTCAAGTATTGGTCGACATATTTATTAAGGACACGAAGTGTCTGTCCCCGCACTACACCCGAACTTGTTGTTACAACTGGGACTCTATCAGTACTTACTATTTGATATACATTTAGTATTAAAAATAATTTTAAATACATAATATAAATATAATAATTTTTTTTAAAAAAATGTTCTACTGCAATAATAAAACAGTTAAATATAAATAGCTTAAAAAATTATACTGTATAAATTATATTTGTATTTTATAAATTAACTACTATTTTTATAATATAAATTAATTTTTTAAGCTATTTATATTTAACTGTTTTATTATTTATAATTTTAATTATATGACACTGTAACTAAGAAATTTATTCATTGATTATTATTTCAATAGAAAATAACTACTACAGTAATGTTAAAATTATATATTCAACGTAAATTAAAAATGTGCTTGGTCATGAATATTATAATAAATGTAATACAGTGTTATCAGTAACCGTCACAGCAAAACATTGGCTAAAGTGAGTCACTACAAAATAACGCGCGTAAAAACAGGTTTAGGGGGGACTGAGTACATGTTTTTGTGCTATTATACCAATAAATATATATATTTATAATTTATACTAATAAAACCTGTGATATTTAGTCATTATTAATAAAATAGTATTAATTTTGTGATAAATTTATTTTATTATATATTTAATTATAATTTTGTGCAATTTGAACACTAATTGTAAGTCTATTTCAATTTAATACGCATTTTTTATTTTAATTGTGATATACTTTAAAATGAGTAAATATTATAATCCAAAGGAAAGAGTGTTTATCATCGAAACTTATTTAACATTTAAAAAATCTGATTTTAAACAATTTAAATCACGTGATAAATATGTTCAAATAAAATTTGAACAAAATTTTAATAAAAATCCTCCGAATCGGTCAACAATAACAAAAATTTATAAAGATTTAAAAAATGACCAAAGAGTTGAAACTAATTTTAAAGTTCCACACATTAAAACAGTTGTAACAAATGATAATATTGAATTAATTAAACAATTATTAAATAATTTTAAAACAATTAATCAATTATTAAATCAACTTAAGTTACGTAATGTTAAGATGAGTTATGGCTCATTACACAAAATATTAACAGATGAACTACTGTTATACCCCTATAAATACAATTTATCGTAAAATTGACAAAAAAACGAAATTATGAGAAAACAGTATTGTTTTGAAATGATTAATAAATTGGCAAACAAACCAGGTATTTATTTATTTAATTACAATTTTCATAAAAACATTTAAACTTTTTATTAAAATAAACGCTAGATTTATGTTGATTTAAATGTGAATTTCTAGTAAAACATTTGCCACAATCGTTGACATTACAAATATATTTAATATAATTTTTATTTAGACTATTTAGATAACTATTTGTGGTCGGATGAAACACACTGTCCTCTCGATGGTTACATAAATAAACAACATATGAGGTGTTGGGCTACAGAAAAACCTGTTGATTTCGTAATTGAAAATGCTACTTATACATCAGAAATTGTATTAAATATAATATTTTTTAGGCCAGGATATAAAAATTATTTTTTTAAAATTAATAATATATTATATAATTACATTAGTACTGATTAGAAATGCTAATTAAAAAAATATATGTATTAAATGTAATAATTTATCAAGTCAATTAGATTAACATTAAACACAAAACAAGCAAGTTTTCAAAAATAATAATAATAAATAAGATAATATAGAAAATATTCATTGTTATAAAATAGATATTTTATATAATAACAAATATATATCATAAATATTATATAATAGTGTAAATTAAATTGTGACACTAATTTGGGCATTGTTTGTTTAACATAATCCACAATAATATAAGTACAGGTACAATACAACATAATACAACATAATAATAATAATAACCTTATTTAAATAACAAAATAAATATTGTATATAAATATGCTTAATTAAATAAAAATTAATCTATTAATTTTATATTTTACTAAATATTATAAACTATTTGTTTCATATACAGGTAGATAATTGAACATGGTGGGTGCATATAAATATAAAGAAATATTACTATAATATCATATATATAAAACTACGATTTGTTTAATTTAAAGTTTGTTTATCATTACTAAATTGATCAATATTTTGTATTAATATAATAACTAAATCGTTTAGTTTTAAAATCAAATAATTGTTATCCCGATTATAGTTGTTTTTTCCATTTATACGCACAAAACTATGTTGAGCGCCGCACATGCATTCACTCCAC